GCAGCCTTTAAGCTTTACTAGAGGTGCAGTAGGAGCAAAAGAGTACCGAATCAATTTTATTCGTAATAGTGTGGGGGAAGGGAGAGCTGCTTTCCTATTTTGAGAGCAACATCTATGCTACACATGCAGAGCCAAAGCCTTCTAATCCAGCAGGCTGAATACATACTAGTTATTCAAACTCAAGAACGTGTGCATAAAAGGAATTTCATACAATTAGTCTCTGTTGTCCTCCTCGTTTTATACTCTCTGTAAAGTTCTCATTCCAATGCTTCTACATTATGCACTCAGACCCATCTTTTTGCCTCCCACAATGCCTTCAGTAATGTAGAAAACATTAGACAAGCAGGCAAGGATGTCTAAAAAGATAGCATTTGTACAAGCCATTAATCTACCATTTAGTCAATAAACACACAGAATTTGTAGATTATTATAGTAAAGCAAAATCAAGTGTAGCATAATGAAAATGGGCAACGCTGTTTCAGTCTTGATATTAGAAACTGTGTGTCAGAGTTTTCTGCCAAACTAATGCAATGGAACACAGTTATGATTTTATGAAGAAAAATATTTTAGCAGACTATCACCCTGAATAGCATGTAAAAAGGTCTTAGGAGGAAAATAATTACATCTACCCTCAACTAATATAAGCCTCTGCACACATCCATTTCTGCATCTTTATTTGTTAAACACCTGACAGAAGTCTGACACCAAACTAGACTGCAGATTCACCTGAGGAGGTCTGTCCAAGGAGCTGATCCTAGTTCATGAGAAACAGGATAAAAACTTGGAACTAATTTTGCTATGTGTAGCAAGAATACACTAAAGAGAAGCTGTACAAGTTACTAGTGACATATGGCTCGTATTGCGACCAAGAAAAAGCAGAGATAACTGACTTCCTCTCAAAGAAGAACCTTGTTTCAGCAGTTCCTTTCATATATTCACACAGCACAAATGTTACAGCTTCAGAAAGTGCAAGTACAGAAAAACAGCAGCATAGGAGCTTGGGAAGGCCTGTGGCAGAAGAGATCACTGCATCCCCACAGCCCCAGGAAACCTCCAGTCACTGAGGCAATACTCTCCTACCCTGCCCAATTATTAATTTTGGGGTCTTCTTCAGCTGCCAGAGCATCTCGTAGGGACACAACATGGCAAGCTGCCAGCCTTCCCAGAGCCAGCTCTGACGAGGTCAGTCTTGGCTCAGCAGCAGACCACATAGCGCAGCAAAAGGAAACACAAGGCCTTGAACTCATGCCCATCTTCCCTCTCGCCCTCCATACATACACCCTACACACCGATTTTCTTTGATCGCTGAGAAATAGTAATTCGCTGGTGGCCAACATCATCTCCACTGGAGACTGTGACAGCTGCCAACAGGCCCTATCCATAAGCAAACAGAGAACTGCTCAGATTAAAACTATGGAAACCCAGAAGTTAAGATGCCAAATTTTACCATTAAATGTGTATTTTTGGCTTCCTTCAGGTGTTATGGGAAGTTACACAATAACTATAATGGAGATTTCCTATTTGGAGCTGTTAAGCTAATACCAATCTAAAGATCAGGTCTGGCAAAGCAGAGAAGTGGCAATATGAACTTCCCTGTTGCCATAGCTGTATGTAGCAACACCGCAGTAGTACAGGGCATCTCAGCCTCTAGCCACAGGCTCTACGGCAGAGCCAGTTTCATCTCAATTAGCTTTGGTATCAGGGTGGTACTACTATTAAACTAGTGATAAAGAAAATACCGAGGACAGGGTCTCCCAAATAATGACGAGGAAGTAGCCTGAAGTTACAGTGCTCACCTTCACGCAAATGACTCTTGGTCTTCAGTTAATTAATGACTTTAGTCCAGACAGCCTGATACACATCACCTGGCTATCCATCACCTATGGCTTTTGATTCATGCAGAAAGCAGAGGCCACGTATGCAATCAACAGCCCTAAAGAATGACCCTTTGTTTATGAAGGGGGACACCAAATAAGTCAGAGAAACCTTATCAATACTAATATGATGAATAGTTACTGACATTTGAAATATTCTACAGAAACCTTCCATATCATTACACAAAATCTGGAAGCAATCCTTAAGGAACTGTAGGCAAAGTGAACACACCATTCAACGCATCAAGGACACAGCTACATCTCTATCACCCAGAAAGACAGCTTCTTGACAATTCTTCTTAAATAATCATGGATGTACCGCTACACAACCATGCATAAAATATTACAAAACTGCAAGAAATGTTTAATCACTTGATCAACATAACAACACATCAGTAGGGACACAGTCACAGGATTCACAGGCCAAACCCATGTTTCTTCCTAGAAGTGAAACAAAAAGAAAGGGATGTGCCAATCCTTCCACACCTCATCCTTCAACAGTAACTACTCCAAGCCATATGGCTGTTAAGGATTTTCAGCACTTGAAGAATATCTATGATGCTTTCCTGACTGCTCTTACAGGAAAGGAAAATTCAACAGACGTACTATAAAGTGAAAACTATCACCCTGCCTACTTTTTCCTGAGTGAAAAAATGCTGTGTTTACTATATTTCTTAGAAAATCTCCATTTTGAAAACAGTGAATATTCCCGAACAGGTCTGGGATTAAGGCATCAAACTTTGAGAAGACAGGTGACTGAATAAGGCTCTTAACCCCACATGTAGCTCTTAATGCACAATGCCTTGGAGCAGACCTCACTTGAAGACCAATGCTAACCTGTCTATTTGGCATTTCTTACAGGGGTCTAGAAGAGAGCCTGAATTTGCCCTTTGAGGGCTTCTTAAGGCCTACAAGAATCTTACCTTAAAGGCACAAGAGTGGCTGACCTGTCCCATCATCCAGTCTCCAGTAACTCCATATGACTTCACTCACCCTGTCTCCAGCTGCTGGCTGTGAAAGCAAAGGAAGCACTGGGCTCCCAGGGTAGTCATTTTGCCAAGGAAGGTGCACATGGCAGATACAACCAGAACTCCTCCCACGGACTGAGGGCTGGCACGACCCCAGAGGAGCCGAGGCTGGCTTGGGAGATGGAGTTCCTAGCAAAATCCATTTAACACATTCCTGCACAGCTTCTGTCGATACCGTTCCTACGGACAGTTGAAGCTATTCTAGTTAAAAAGGAAACAGCCTTGCCAGGCTAGTTGCCTTCACTGAAATAAGAGCATGCGTTTTACAGAAACAAAGATGAATTGAGCTCACTTTCTTCTACAGCAGTATTCTGGTGTGATTTTGTTCCCTTGTATCTGCTTAGATAGCTAACCAGACCAGAGCTACTGGAACAGGAATGTATTTATGTATCTTTATCCAACATGCTGAGGTTTTTAATGCTTGGTTGGGCTTTCTGGACCTTTGCACATGTATTAAACCATACAAGCATTTTACAGCTAGCACCTCCAATTAGCACAGGAACTGACACCTTCTCTGCTGCTTTTCCTTATGTGTTCATTTAATAAAAAACTTTGAAATTGTGCATTAAGGTATACTGAAGCACTGTTGTATTAAACAAGCATAATGACCAGAATTTATCATACTTCAGGCATTTTTATAGATTCCTTCCTAAAAAATATTAATAAGCATACTCAGTAAATGCAGGATTTACCTTTGAGCATCAGTATTCTTTGTATCTTTTGTCATTAGAAATTAAAGCTAAAAATACATGTACACTCCCCCTGTTGCATACTTGCTCCACATTCAAATAGAAACCCCCAGACAACCAACATAAACAACTGTGATGAATGCTTCAATCTCCAACAGGCAGTGGGATGAACACCATAAAAAGAAATTAAGACTTACTATTTTTCCACCTCCTCTCAAAACACAAAAGTCTAAACCAACTCCTGTTTGGTCAGTTGTGACTTCGTAAACGCTGTATCTACCAAACCACATGCTGCCAGGAATAGCATAAATCTCAAAGCAAGGATTACAAAATCATTTGGGGGTTTTGGGGTTTTCTCTTTTAAGAACCCCAACACACATCCTTACAAGGAGAAACAGTTCAATCTGCTTTTAGCTTTCAAAACTAACACAGATCTATTTATTCTGCTGGGTATACACCGAATGTTTGAACAAAAAAAGTTAGTCAGAGGTCAGACAATACAGGTCCCTATGACTACACCCTTCACTTGAAGGAAAACCAGAATATCGATTTTCTGTTTCAACCAGCTGAAATGACAATAAGAGAAAGCAAATTCTCCTGGCTTTTGTGTTCTAAAAGAACACCTTCCCAACTGACATCTAATCAAATTGGTTTTGGCCACTGAAAAATCCTACCATTGGTCAGGCTTTGCAATAGGCACATCCCATACACCTTGTTCAGGATGCACGGATGCACACTCAGCTCCTCATCCCTGCAGCTTCTATAGGGGGAAAAAAAAATGAAGTCAGGAGCGGGTTATCTGTCAGGCCGCGTCCTGGCACCAGCCACCGAGTTCTGAGTTTACGTGAGCGCAGCACCAGGTTAACAATTTGCAATTTGCTTCACTCCTGGACTCCCCGGCAGCCCTCCATTTTGTCAACTGCCTCAATTTAAACGTTTTCCAAGTTGAACGGCACAACTTCCAACATTTCTTGGGGAGCCCTTCGGGGCTTTAAAGCATCCTCGCGCATTTTAAGCAGTGGAAAGCCTATTCGGAGCCAGCGCTGTTTACTAAGTTTAGAAAGGCAGGCGCGCACCCACGGCTTATCAGGAGCCTCCCCAAACATCCCCCGCAGCCGGTTTCGGGGCGCGCTGGAGAGAGCTGCTGCTCATCCCTTCCCGTGGCGAGCTGCCTCCCTTCCACCCACAAAACGCCCCCAGCTTTCTCCCCCTTTCCCCTGCCTCTACGAGGAGAGGCAGGTGGCTATCGGGAGGTGACGAGGGAACGGACGAGGAGGCAGGAGCCCCCGCGGACAGCAGCAGGGTGCCGGCCGCCCCGCAGCAGGTAGGGGGAGCGTGGAGCGGGCGGCCAGCCGGTGCCGGCACCGTCCCCGTCCCGTACCCCACTCCCTGTCACCCCGGTGCCTTACCACCTGTGGAGGCGGCAGGAGCCCGCCCGGGCCGGGGCAGCGACCTGTCTGGTGCGGGCGCTCTCCTCCGGAGGTGAGGGGCTGGCAGGGAAGGGCATGCGGGAGGAGGGAGGGAGGGACACATGGAGGGAGGGCTGGCTCTTGCCGACCGCCTCTCCCTCACCTCCCACCTCCCTCCTCCTCCTCTCCGCCCGGTCCGGCCCGGCTCGGCTCGCACCACCCCCCGCGCCCCTCGCCCCCCTCCCGGGCTGCCTTCCACGGAGCGGCCCGGGGCGAGGGGTCCTTGCGCTCTTCCCGGCACTTACTGTTTCACCCCCTGTCTGCCTGTCCATCCCCTCGGCGGGGATAAAAGTTGTTGCCACCAGCCTCGCCGCTGCCGCCTGAAACAACTTTGTCTCCTTCCAGCCGCTGGGGAAGCTCCTTTTTCCTTCTTTTTCAATTACAATAATAATAATAAAAAAGAACAGTAATTAAAAAAAAATAAAAAGAACACCAAAACTATATTCGTCTCTTTTTTTAAAGAGGGGGAAGCGTGAAGGTGGGAGGGGAGAGCAGAAGAAAAAGGAAACATTTGGAGCTTTTTCCCCCCCCTCTCCTTCTTCTTTCCCCCTCCCCCCCAAGATGGCTTGAGAAGATTAAAAGGGGACAGTGATGGGACACACACACACACACACACACACTGAAAAGATCGGGAGGGGGGAGAAAATCGTGGGGTTCGGGGTGTTTTTTTTGTGTTTGGTTTTGGGGCTTTTTTTAAGCCTTCTGTTTCCCCGGAGGGCTCAAACGTTTAGAAACAAACGGGCAGAGCAGGCAGGCACAAGGAGGGGAGCGAACGAGAGAAAAGAGTTTTGCTGGTCAGTAAACTTCAAGCTGCAGGGATGAGGTCATTGGTGTAAAAATAAAGCGATGGCGTCATTTGAAACCAATCCCAGTGAATGAACTCAGCCGGGGGGTGAAGGTGGGGGGAGAGGGTGAAGGAGAAAGAGGAGGAGCGAGGATCCCTGCGGGGACACCGAGGCAGCAGCAGCCGCCGCGCAGCCCCGGCGGCGGGAGGCGGTGGCTTGGGGGGGGGGTCTCATGCCGCACCACGCTGTCACCGGGGGGGGGGACGACACACGGCCGCAGCCCCCGGTCCCCCGCTGCAGCCGCCGGGACGGCCCCTGGGAGGAGCCGGGGCCGCGGAGCGATTCAACCGGGCCGCCGCCGCGGTCCTTCTCCGCTGTTCGCCCGGCCGGGAGGCAGGCTCCGCCGGCCCTGCCCTCGCTGCCCGGCCGCGGGCCTCGCCTCTCCCGTGCTCTGTCCGCAGGGGCCGCCTCCTTTTAGCGGCCCGTTCCGCCGAGACGAGGCCTGCGCTCGTGCGCGGGCCCAGCCGGGTTGTTCTCGGTGCTACAGCGAGCGCTCCAGGTGGCTCTATAAATGCTGGTCCTGTCTTTTAAAGTAGCGCTGTGTTACCTGGTGCAGAGCCATTGCAGTTCTAGGGTGTCAGGTCCTCTTGTGGAGGTGGTGGTGTGGGCAGAGGCCTGTGGGCTACATTGCACACTGGGGGTCTTCATGCTTTTGTAGAATCACACACTGGTTGGGTTAGGAGGAACCTTAGAGACCCATCTAGATCAAACCCCTGCCACGGGCAGGGACACCTTCCACTAGACCAGGTTGCTCCAAGCCCTGTCCAGCCTGGCCTTGAGCACTGCCAGGGATGGGGCAGCCACAGATTCTCTGGGAAACCCTAATGTCTAATCTAAATCTCCCCTCTGGCAGTTTAAATCCATTCCCCCTTGTCCTGTCACCATATGCCAGATTTCTTGTAGGGTCCTTTTATGTGCTGGAAGGCTGCTATGCTATAAGGCCTTTAAATAACCTTGTTAAAGAAAATAATTAAAAAAAATCTGAAACTAATAGCTTGAGGAAAGTGCAAGTTTAGTCTAAACAGGTAGGAAATTATTTTTATCTAACACCTATCTCTTCTGGCTAGTACCAATGATAACTAGCAAAGTGCATCCTTCAGGGGTTTGGTGGGTCCTGCCTTTCTTACACATTCCTCTTCCAGGTACACCAGAATATTCTGCAGCCTTTTTTCTCCCCCAGAGACATCACTGTCACTACAGGGAGCCTGCCAGCGCTGCTGAGTATGCGGGATGTCTTACATGGCTGAATTCAAACTCCAGCCAGTCACCTCTGCTGGCTTTTGAATCCCTGTAACACAAACCCTTGGAAGACAGCATGCGAAAGAGGATTAATTGCATGGCTCCTTACACTCATGGTGGCTGTCTCTTAAAACTAAGTGCTTTGGGAAAGGCACGCAGCTATCACCCACAGTAAAATGGTTTGTGTGGTTCGTATGTCAGAAAGCAGAGAGCTCGAACAAATTTTACAGTGCTGGGCTCTGTTCTGGCAAAATTGACCAAGAACAACCTTGATGAAGGGCCTGGTGCTAAGGAGTTGCGAGTTGTCTCCCATGAGGAAGCCTTGTTGGCACTTCAGAACAGTCACATCCTCTGCAAGGGAGTGCAGAATGTGCAGGGGAGAGAGAATTCCTAAGAGAAGCCCAGTCTCCCTAAGGCAATGATGAAGGAAAGACCAAAAGCAATGAAGAAACTGTGGTAATGCAACTCATGCTGGTATGTTCACTATTTTGCATATGTCAGTCTTGTAGAAGGTAAAAAGCAGTTTTAACTTTCTGTTTCAGTTAACCAGCTGCCCTGAAGAAACCTTCCGCAGATCCCCAAAGTGCCCAGAGTATTGAAAGTGTGCACAGTCAACTGCTGGTTAGCGGAACTACAACTGACCCATTTCGATGAAGGGGACCAGAGGAGAGTGTGCCAGAGAAACTCAAGGTGACAGCCAGTGCCCTAGCTTATTCAGACCAAAGAAGTGCAGGAACAAATAGTTCCAGCACGGTTATCCTCACAAAGGGAAGTGGGGAGCAGTGGAGAGGGTGCGTGGTGAGAAGGAAAGACATTTGAGTTTTCCCTTTTGTCACCTCAACTCACTAACACCTTATGTAACTTTTCTTTTTTTTTTTTTTTTTTTTAACTGGGACACTGAAAAAGTTTCCTCACTGTAGAACTGTTGGAATAAAAATAGTTGTGACCATTTTGGAATATTTTTGTTTTTAGCTGAAGAAATTTGTATACAAAAAAGTCTAGGAGAGCAAGTTAAAGCCTTTTTAACATAGAGCGTCCTGTAAGCTGGCTGGGCTTAAACCACAACACAGAGTCAGGCAATTTCTTTTTCCTGATGTAATAAAAGGTGCGACTAAACCCCTGTGATACCACAATTGACTCCTGCAGGCTGAAGTTATTACTAAGAATATATATTCAGCTTGAGCTTGTGCTGAGAGTCTGATCTGGGAGACCATCGCAGGGTGAAACTGCACAAGTTTGTTGCTAACCTGAAGACACAAACAGAAGGAGCCTGGAGGACTCAAACACAGCAGCATCTGACCTCACTTCACTGAGATTAGTGTCTGTGTCCTTTACCTCCTGTTTGCAATGGGCAAGGCGTGCGTGTGTTGGCAGCTGACATGCCTCAGCTGGCAGGTGGTCACTCATCAAGGAGCAGTAACTCCTCTGCATGTCAGTCTAACTCCAGCTTAATTTTTTTCCTTGAAAGCTTTTTTCCTCCCTACCATTTGCACAGCAGGCTCCTGGAAATGATCTGAACTGCATGCACGGAACAGGGAGAGAGTCAGGCTTTAGCTTGGTGAACTCCTGAACCATCTGGGAGAGGGGCTGCCTGGCTTTGTGGGTGTCCCTGGCTGCTGACCTTTCCTCCCCAGGTTCCCAAAGGTCTGTCAATTCTATGAAATCTATCTTGCTACATTTCTGCCCAGTGATTCTTTTTTTTTTTTTTTTTTGCCTCAGCGCTCACTGCCCCTTTTTGCCAAAACGGTACCGAAAGAGTTACTGTTAGCCTCCCTTTCTTGTGCCTCCTTATCAAGCTCATGAGATAAGACCTCAAGTGTCTATATGGGGTAAAACAAGGGCAAAAGACATTGTGGTGTCTATCCAGCAGGCTATGCAACAGTGCTCGAACTTTAACATGTTCCCATGTCCTCCTGCCAGTACACATACTGCTTCTGCCAGGAGCAGCTGTGTGTCACCCGTCACTGCTCCTGTTGCTGGGGGGCTGGGGAGAAGGAATAGGTGATTACTTTCAAAAACTGGAGGTCATGCACCTTGTTTACAAAGGTTTCTCTGTCTCTATTCATAAAAGCTAGCAGAGCTTTCTGTTCCTTTTCCAACTAGTGGATTTGGTGGCACTTCACTTGGTTAATCAGTTAGCAGTGATTAAACAGGGGAAAGATGAATGGCAGCCTGAGTAACGTCATCATGTTTTCTGCACAGTGGAAAGGAGTGGTTTGCCAGAGGAACCTCTTGCGAAATCAGAGAGAACTGAACTTAAAGAACAGAATTTACCATGATTTAAAATCCCCTTGTGGGTGCTCACTTCCACCATGGGCTGAAGCAAGGTTGTTGACGAGGTTACCATTCCCAGACAGCTCTCAGTCACTGTCACACCTATCTTCTGCCAAAGGTTATCGCCTCTCCTACCTACCCGCAAGCTGCTCATGCAATCCCTCCCAAATTTGTTTTGGCCAAAGACGACTGGAGTAGCTTAAGAAGTTTAAATAGTAGATGTCAGCTGAACTGGTTTGTTTTGGATGGCTGAAATGGATTAGGGGAAACCCAAGTCAGCAGATGGGAAGTGAGGGGATGACCTTTTTTTCATGGACAGCTTCAGGGGCAGTGGGTAGTTCGGCCTAATCTGCTTTCAGAGCAGGCTGCTGTACCAGACGTAACTGCTACTGACAACTCTTCAGGGTATTTAAAAATAGAAGTGTTGCCGAGGCACCCACATTGAAACATTCATAGCATTTTTAGATACTACTAGCTTTGTCGGCATAAAAAGCAGGGTACGGCAGGAGTAGCAGTGCAGGTTTGTGGGAGAGCAGCAATGGGAACATGAGGATTTGGAAACTGGTAGGAATAGAAGATGTAGGACTGAGCATTGAGAAAGATCAGAAGAGAGAAAAGTTTGCAGATGGAGATCACAGAGTTCAGTGGGAGATCACAGAGTTCAGTCTGGAGAGGGGGAATTTGAGTGGTGAGATGTGCAGGCATCAGGGACACAGGCTGCAGAGTAGCAATGCTCGAGGGAAAACAGTGAGTTGAGAACAATTACTATCTCCCCATTCTTCTCTTCTTGTTTGTATCAGACCTTGGGAAGTTCTACTCCTTTGGAGAATGCGGAAATGAGAATAGCCTCACTAGTCTGTTGCTACAGGTAGTTTTCATACCACTACTTCCCTATAGCTTCTCCAGCACTGTCATATTCATTGCATGTCAAACAGGCCGGAGTTAGTATGCAAGCAGAGAAGTCTAGGTTCAATGCAGATATAGGTTCTTATGCCAGGAGAAATGTAAGACAAGATGGAGCAATATTCCTGCTCTCTGTAAGACAACAGTGGATGATTTGGAGCAGTGGAAAAGGAGAATTACAGGAACTAGAATAGTAGAAAGTACAGAAAAAAGAGAAGGAGATTGTCAGCTATCTGCTTTCCTTAAATCATAAATCCTCTATCCATTACTCAACACGAATTTACATGATCCCTGTCGCTATAGTTTCTGAGAACCCATTACTTTTGTAAGTCTTTCATGGGACAGAGGATACCATGTTTTATTGGTGTAAGACTGAGTTACTGAGATAAAGTAGCTTATTCAGGTTAGTATAGCAAGCCAGTTGCAGATTGGAGAACTCCCTTAAATCCTGAATCTAACTACTAAGTCATCCTTCTCCCTCTCTCCATCTCTTGAAAGAAATTGTAACTTTTTTTAGTTAACCTGAGCAGGGACATTTAATAAAATTAAGCACTTGTACAAAAGTTTGTTGGCTTAGTTTGCAATTAGACACACATACACACAAAAGTCTGTAAGTGAGATAGACAACAGAAGACAAGGATAAAATACAAAGGAAGAAGTAATAAAAATTTCCGGTTCCATAGATGGGCATATGAAGCTTAGGGGCTTTTGATCAATCAGAATCATCTTCAACAGAAAAAAAAAAGTGACTATTTTGATAGTCAAACCACTTCAGTGTGAAGCAGCAAGATTAAGTTTTGAGAAAACATTTGAAATTGGAGATCATAATAAGTATTATTTACAGAAAAGGAGCATAATAACATGTTGTCATCAGGAAACAGAATAATGAAATACTGTTCTCAAGAAACAGCAAGTTCAGACAAATCTACAGCAACTGAGAATCTTAACTAGTAACTTTTCTCCCTTTTCTCTGTATCTAAAGAAAAAATATTTAATTAACAACACCACCCCCCCCCTCCCCCCCCCCAGTACATTAAAAAACAAAATCACAAACACATTCCAGAAATTAAGTTCCTTCTTTCTTTAAGTACCTTCTTTCTTTTAGCTCTTACTCACCGCTAGTCATTTGTCTAGGCTGGTGTACTTGTATTGAAATCAACTTGTTAATGGGCTGTAAGCACAGATGGTGTAAATCATCATTGCTCAACTAACACTGAAGTTGCTATGCCAATTTATACTATCTGAAGAGTAGCTTTGTATGTTCATGTTTTGTTTGTGGCCCATGATGAATCAGAACTAAAATGTATTTCTGTTTATTATGAAGGCAACATAAAATGTATGAGGTCTTTCACTATTCATAACCTTCTTTTTAACTACTTGAGTACTTTAGATAATGTGAGTATAGTAATTACCAACCTTAAATACATTTTAGACTTTTTGTTCCTGGCAATGAAATATTTTCTTAAAAGTGCCTAGGATACAATGAAAAAGGGCAGCATCCATAAAATGCTCTAAAGTTGTGATACATGAAATGTAATCTGGGCCAATATAAACTATTTAGTACAAAATTACTGTCTTGATAGCATGTTAAAGTTAGCTCACAATCAGGAAATTTGACAAAAAGATGAATGCAGAAACTGAATTGTCAACCTGTGGTATTAAAGACCAGTTTATATTTTATTTATATTTATTTATAAAAATATTTTCAAGATGTACACAAGAGAGGAAATCTTCTGACAGTTTTAGAGTCTTCCCCATTTCTTCTAATGCATTTTGTTGTCTCTGCCTACCTTTAACAACTCCTGATACCTACAGATAACCTGAGCCTTGTGGATTTGATAGGTTAATGTTCATTGTATTTCTATTTCTAAAGTGCCGTTTGGGTGTTGCAGTAATACCCAAGTGAAACGATGTTGTTATTCAAACAGATTGTGAAAGAGAAAGATTTCTCTTAGTGGAATCATTAAAATGCGCTTAATATGTGGAAAGACCCTCGTATCAAAAAATGAAGGACAGAAAAAACTTTAATGGAAATGAAAAAAATCTTGAGTTCTAAAAGGGAAAAGAAACTGAGTTAATGACTGTTTATTTGTTGTTGCTGTGGGAAAGAAAGGCATGAGCACCACAATGACCTGCATTTATAAGCTTTCATTCATATAAATCTTTAAGTGGATACACTCAGAACATCAATATTTGCGCCTCACAGTAAAAACATTCATAGGAAAAAAAGCCCTGTTAACTTTGAAGAGTGTCTTGTTTTGTTGAATGCACTGGTCAGAATATTGTCAGTCTGGTACTAACCCAATTGTCAACAACAGACAGCAGAGTTTGTTGAGAAGGACAGGTGAAAATATCAGGTTACAGGGAAAAGAAGCATGTGAAAATTTCAGAGCGTGTCATTTGTAATTTTTTGTCAGGATGCAAGGTTAGAATATGTCTATTTTAGTAGCAATCTGAGTTCAAAACTCTAAGGTGGAGGTGAGGTGAAGGACTGCTTGTTTATTTTTATGTAGCCTTTTTGTGTACCCTTCCGATGTTCAGCAACAAACTGGTTTCTGTATACTGGGTATGGGTACAACTCTTTTAGCTCTAGGGTGGGGGGTGGGGGTGTTGAAAATCTTGCAGGAATGTTTTTGCTTCAAAGCAGTTTGCCACTTGTTCTCCTTGTTGCTGGGGTGAAGAATCATTAACATATTAAAAATGTTTAAAACCCTGGTTTATGTTCAGCCTGCAGACAGAAGGGGAGAAGATCAGTGAGGATAAAACACAGGGCTCCAAATCCAATGTTTTATTTTCTATGTGAAGGCTTGCCTCAGACTTCTCATGACTTGCTTGAAGCTGCACCCTCTTACCTCAGATATAAATTTGGCTTGTTGACTTTAGTCATTAAAAAATTGTTTCAAGTCACTGATCAAATGATGATGAGTTCCAGATAAACTTATGCTGAAGAATGTGCATCTTCATGATCATTTAAAATCTAAATGAGATATGAAATCAAATGGGACAGAAGGTTTTTTAAGAGGGGGAATTTCAAGTAGAGGACATGACTTTCCAAGTCATTATTTCTTGGCAACTGTGTAAGCTCAGAAGAACTTCCTAGACAGGAACATGAGTACAGATTATTTTGTGAGCCAGTCAGTGGAGACATTTATGGGAAAATGGGAGATGCAATTTGAGTTCCAGAATTTAAAAGGAAAAAGAAGTCCTTGTTAGAAGGGCTTGTCTAATTACTAAGTTGCAGAAATTGTATGTTTATTCATCTGTTATTTTGTACTAGGACTTACAATTAAATGATGTCAGCTACAGTTTAAGAAAAATGGTTATTATAACTGATGAATCATTTAAAGTACCTTCTTACCATATAGTGTCAGCAGGAGATTAGGATGTAGTTGCACAAACACTGTAAGCTGGATGTCACTAAAAGAAGAGCTTGGTCTTCCATTTGGTGAATGAACAAAGGCTTGGACCACTACAGAGGACACACAGCTTAGGAACAGGGA